TTTTTTTTTTTTTTTTTGGTACAATGTATTTATAGTTTTGATTGAGCTAAAAACAACAAGACGTGCCAAACAAACGAAAGCCTCTCTTCCCTCTTATTGCGGACGCTGAATCGAGATTTGAACCGTCAGATCACCGTGCAAACGTCGTTGAGATCTAACGGTTACAAACTCCGACGGAATGTTTTTGTAACGGGACAGTAGAATCTCCCTATACTAAAAACGTCATTGAGATCTAACGGTTACAAACTCCGACGGAATGTTTTTGTAACGGGACAGTAGAATCTCCCTATACTAAAAATTGGTAAATATTAAATATAATTTCTAGCTACATATTTAAATAATAATAATAATAATGAAATTTTAACCATAAAAATAAGCATATTTTATGGGAGATGTTGTATTGCCGGAATTATTCCGTCGGGATTTTTAACCGTTAAATCATCATATAACCGTCGGGGAGAGTTAGTTTAACGGTTACAGACCACGAAATTGTCAAAGGTTGGGCCTTTTTTTTTTTTTTCAGTTTCTTGAAGCAGTGGTCAATCGCTGCTATGTTATGGGAAAGTGAGGTTTTTCAAGTTTCTCAAAAACTGGAACAGTCAAAAGTAAATTAACTACTGGAAAATGAAGCGTGATGGAGTATTATTTTAACCGTATTTATTTATTCAAAATATATATTAAAAAAAGAAGTAGCATTTCTTAAATACATATAAATAAAATTAACGTCATAAAATTGGCATATACAATTTTAAAACACTAGAATTCAATGTATAAAATTAGAAAGAGATGATTTATAAATGTACCCTGATTGTAGCATTGAACTTGTGATGATGATTAAATGTACTCGACTAGATTATAGGCTTGGGTTGATGAATGACTTACGCTGTCCCACATTGTTCTTTTTAGTTGGTTGATTAAAGTTTCCAGTTATAATTTGACCGATAAATTTGTTGAAACATTGCTAGTGAATCGTTCAAACTAAACTTTAATCGGTCAAATTTATCGGTCAAATTTGGACGATTCACTAGCGATATTTCAACAAATTTATCGGTCAAATTATAACTGAAAACTTTAATCAACCCACTAAAAAAAAGCTGAATCTTTTAATGAAAGTGCACATGCAGCCGAAATCCGACAATAGAACTAACTATGAAAACTCAAAACAATAACATGGAATATTATTAAAGTATATATATATTTTTAGTTTAACTTTTAATTCTCTTTTTCAAAAAAGCAAATTTGGGTCACTCTTGGCCAATTTTAAGGCTTGGCCAAGGGAATTTGGGCCGCACAGCCCAATGCCACGTTAATTTAACAACAAACTTTTGAAAGACTAGTTTTGGATCCTGATAAATAGAGACATAAATTCAGCCTTTTTTAAATCTATATCATAACTAGAGATATTAAATGGGCCAGCTCGTTTTATCCAAAAATATATGATCCATTTGAATCATGGTTCTTTAATTACTCAAACCGATTAATCCAAACACGTTAGGGTTAGGCAGTAGGTTATTCGATTAAACATTCTTTGTTATTATTTAAACAAATAGAACTACTCCTTTTTTTCTATACGTGTAATAATGGATAAAAGATGTTATGCACCAATGTTATTAAAGTATTTGAGTAAAATTAAATAGAGGAGGGGTAGTCAAGATCCAACATGTGCATCGAAAAGTAAATCATACGGCGGACTTCGTGCCCATCTAGCGGCTTCATACCCGATCGGGCTTCAAACATTGTCTTCTCTTCCTCCCAATTAAGTATTTGGCTCGAGCATGATAGTATGGGGTCTCGTATCCTCGGGAAGTCTTAGACTAGCCCCTTGGCCTCTTTCTCTGCACCCAAAAAAAAAAAAAAAAATTATTTGAGTAAAATTAAATAAAAGTTATTATATGAAATTCTATATCTAGCTAGTTTCTTTATATTTTCCGTTGGAATAACTATTTCAACGGATATTCCTACGTATAAAAATTCGTGGGAAAAACGACCGTTTGAATAGCTAAAATCCAACGGAAAATCCTATGGAAATAAATTCCTGCAGCTATTCCAACGGAAAAAATCCGTTGGAATTCATCAACCATCCAACACTTATTCCAACATAAAATTAAGTTTGTTGGAATATTCATTGGAATTTCCAACAGAAATTTTTGTCGTTGGAATTTTTTGTTGGAATTGAAGTGTTTTCTTGTAGTGAGGGTTCTTACCATTGTTAGATCTAATTAATCGTCTAAAGTTCGGACTGGAGTTTCCATGTGTGAGAGCCTTCGATTACGCGATCTCTTTTCGTTGTAGGAATTGATGGTTGACTTGTTGCTAGAGGTTTAAACGTGAGAATTGAGATTGAGCTCATACTGTTAAGCTTAGTTCATTTATCAATATTAATGAGCCAAATTTGAGACTTAATAAAGCCAAACTCGGGTTTGCCTTTTGAATGTTCTATTATATATGCATTTGCTTGCACCGGCACTGATACACTTGGTTTCGAAAACTTGATTAGCTATTATAAATTACTACTGAATATGTGACATTTATTTAGTTTATTTGGAACATGATACAATTACAAACAGAGGATAAAAATGTATAAACTATTCTGAACCAAGGCATTCAAGCAAGGCACTGTTACCGATTTAACCTTAAAACTAAATTTCTATTACAACAAGCACCAGTGGTCTAGTGGTAGAATAGTACCCTGCCACGGTACAGACCCGGGTTCGATTCCCGGCTGGTGCAAATATATTTTTTTTTTCTCTCTCATTTTCAACGTTTAACAATTGTTGTTTGCAACTATACTGTTCATTTTCATTTTTCTTTATGGCTTTTTTTTTCCCTCTCAATTTTATTTCACGAACTTAAATTCACGGACATATCAACGTACTGTAATTTTTAACATTCCATTTTTACAAGTATTCTTGAAAGTTACGTAGATCAAAACATATAAACATTTAAAAGTGGCAAGCCCAAAGTGAAATTGTTTCTCTATTTTTCATATTTCTCTATTTTCTCTACTTTTTCATATTTCCTTGTCGGTATTCCAGAATAGACAACATAGTTATATAACAAGTTAATTAATTAATATTTGGTTAGTCCATTTCAGTTTTACCTGCTGACATTTCAACTGCTTTGAATATACGTGGCCACAGGCCGGCCCGCAACCAGACCATAGGTTGCCGGTTCCGAAAATCGACACCGTGGCTTTACGAGTCTTATCCAGGTCTTT